AACGATAGTTTGTGCCCAAACCACCTGGTCACCGAAGGCACTTGGCCTGCCCATCTCTCCGGGCAGATGCAGCTGCCGCCGTCCTCCCCCTCCCCCCGCCTTCTGGAAGATCCCCACCAGGATGGCTGACTGCCATGCCTCCCTGGAGCAGAACGCTGTCGTCGAACCCAGCCTGTATGGTGACTCAACACCTGCAGAGAAAATTTAGGGTTGTACGGCTCTTCGTGGGCCCCGCGCAGCCCTGTTGTGCCGATTCCTAAGCTCCCTTTGAGGTCCACGGGACCTGCGCATCAGTGAACACTAAGAACTGAGCCCTACGTGCCAATTTCCACCATTCACACGTACTTCAAAAAGATGAGACGGGGCAGGAAGTTCAAAAAGGATGTGCCCGCAACTGCAGCATGCAATCTCAGAAATTATAGGCACTGCCTTGTCACGCACGCCACACTGAGCAGGTGCTTCTGCCAAACGCCTCCTTCTTGCCAAGAAATTCCTGCTGCGGATTAATAGGAATTTCCAGTTCTCTAATCATTTCTTGCTCCTTGGAGCTATTACCCCTAAATTTCTAGCACTTCAAAAAAAAATTTATATATATACACACACAGGATTTAGCACCTGTTTGTTTCAGAAATACTTTCTAAAAACAGATCTGCCAAAAGGCCATCTCTAAAATTAGTCATATTTCCTGTTCTGCAAAACATAGTAAATCGTATTTTTAGTAACTCCTTCACTCCAGGTATCTGGCACTGTCGTGCTCCAAGCATAATTATTGGCAACTTACTAAGCAGGCAACCCTTATTTTTAGCCCCAAAATAGCTCCAACAAAAGTGATAAACAGGCTTATTTTTTTTTTTAACCAGGGTTAGAACAAGATATTTAAACATCTTAACCAATCATTTATGTACCCGACTTTGCATCTCAGAAAGACTTAATCACAAAAGGAGGTCCTTTGTGGCATCAACCCCTGCCCCCTTTTTTGCAGCTTTGCCTCTGAAACCAGCCCCCTACCTGAGATGTACCTTGCTTTTCACTGTCAGCCTTTCCAACTTTCTTTTAGCACGTTTTTTTTAAAAAATGTAACAATAACCAATTATGTGCCAAAACGATGCATTTCATAGGTATCATGGACCAATTTCAGGGGCAGCAAGCACAACCTCTCTGGGTCTTTCAAAGTCATCACTCAATATCCCCATTCAGCAACTTTGCTCTTTGTCTCAAAGCCACAGTGAATACTCTTCAAAATCTGATTTTGTGGTGCCTTTTCCTCCTCCAATCATCAGTTTCCTGTAGTCACAGACATTCTGACCTAAGAACATACCCGTTAAGAGTCTCACATGACCAAGGGAATTATTTATTTTTAAAGCCATATTAACAGAGACGACATCCACTCAAAGCTAAAGGAGGACAAAAGTAGGTGTCACCCAAATCCATTCTTTCTTTTCAAGCAGCAACAGGACCATCTAGATCGAAATGACTTTCAAACAAGCAACTTCAGAGGGCAGGCAGGCAAAAATACTGTCCGGCAGACAGCGGTGACCGAAGGAAGCTTCTTGATGAGGTAGGACTGAAGCCTGAGATGAAAGTCAGGAAAAAGTGGTTTTCTGTCATCTCCAACTGCAATTCCCAGCAAGCCGTGGAGGATGTGGTCCAGATCTTTTTGGAAATGTGCACTGAGTCGAAATGTAACACACACACACACACACACACACACCCCGTGTCCTAAACCAGCGGTACTCTAGATTTGGGCACAAATCACCCAAATTTGCATAGTTTGAGATTGCAACTGTGAGGCCGGCCAAACGTGGGGACCCTCTCTTCTTCCCTTTCTCCATCCCACCTTTCAGCTTTTGCATGAACTGATTCCCCACCACAAGCTGCCCCGGATCCTGCCACGTGGGGGATGGTATAGGGCCATGCATTCACTTCTTACTACGGTGTCCACGACTTAATTTCCCTCCCGCTGTGGTCTATGTCCTTTAAAAAAGGAAGACAAGGATAAAAGTGAAGGGCTCTATCTGAAGTATGCACCCCAAAAAAGGGGGCACTATTGGGGGGAGAGGCTCTCCCGGGCCATTCATATCATCCACTGGGAGGGACACCTCACTTCCCCTCCCCCGGGGTACTGTCACCTCAAGGTCTCCCCTTGCTAGGTTCACATCAGTACCCCTTCACCAGCCTGAAAACCCTCTTACCAGCTCCCCTTGTAAAAAGAGGGCTGCATATAGCAGAAGATTGACTTCACCTCTGTTTGGGTTCAGTAAGACAATATCCAGAACGCAAGTGTGGATGGGGGCTCATGAACTCGGTCATCCTTCCCAAAGTCATGCATGCAGTGCACGCGCGCTCACGCACACGCACATTTTAATCTCCGTGATCTGCCAAAACCCTAATCTACTAGGTTAAGCATTAAAGGTGCTGGATTTGGGAGATAAAAGCTATGAATGACATCCATTGTTTCCTTAAAGCTGGCAATTAAGTGAACTAAAATCCAGGTTTCTCGTGTTGCTTGTACTCCCTGAAGCACTGATTCTCATGGCTAGAGCCAATCGAGTAGTCGAGAATGACAACCTGACAGGCAGTTAATGGTCCCCTCCCCTGGCTGAGACGAGGTGAGATTCATTTAAGAAAGATAAGACAAGGGGCGCTTGGGGTGGCTCAGTCAGGTGAGTGTCTGACTCTTGATTTCAGCTCAGGTCATGATCTCAGGGTCATGGGTTCAAGCCTCCCGTCGGCTCTGCATAGCAGGGAGTCTGCTTGAGATTCTCTCTCTCCTTCTCCCTCTGTCCTTCCCCCCAGCTTACTTGCACTCTCTCTCTCTCTTTCTAAAATAAATAAAGTCTTCAAAAAAGAAAGAAAGAAAGATAAGACGGGAGAGAAAGGACATGGACACCTAGGGGTGCAAAAGGCTCCTCATTTGGACCCCGTTTGGGCAAGAACTCCCTGCACTCCTGTGGGCCCAGCACAGAGCTCTAGAAGCCCCGAGTAGGGCCTGAGCTCGGAGTGCATCCTCGCCCAGTTCAGCCAAGGCCAACAGCCTTGTGTTATGAAGCCAAACTGCACCGGTGAGGAGCCAGAGACCCAACAGGGCATGGGAAAGTGGAGAGAAGCCAGGAGAGGCTGAGCGGCGGGGCAGGCGAGATGCATGCGCTCGTAATGTTGGCCATATGCTGTCAGTATAAAGTCTCGTCTCTTTTTGCTAAGTTTCAAGCGGTTTCACAACCAGACTGAACCCTATACGTTTCAAAGGAAAACAAAGTTCTACTACCCATGCCAACAGGAATTTACCCAGGCATGGGGAAGTGAGCCCACTGTAGTTAGCGAGGGGGACCTCGGCCGTGCACCCCGGCCGGATGTGTAAGTTGGCCAGCCCACTGCAAAACCAAAGGATTGGAAAGTATGCTGTGCTTGCTCTCTTTGGACTAGAATGAGGTTAAGAGTGTTTTTCCTTCTTCTTTGAAGACTTAATTCAGTGAGTTCATTCTGCACACTCCCTTTTTACATGGAAATTCAAGCAAGAGGCACTTTTTAAACTACTCGCTCTAATTCCACCTACCTAAAACAAAGGTACCCCACTGGAGCATGAGCAGCTTAGGAATAGAGGACAAATGACAAGGTGATAGGGACCTGCACTCAAATGCAAGGGGCTTCAAGACCCAGTAGGGAAAGGAGGAGGGAACCCAAAGTTAGGTGAGGCTGGGGACAGGAGGGCAGGGCAGCTCGCCCCAGAATCAGAGCTCCACAGTGTGGCATTCCCAGGAACTCCCAGGCTGGGTAGAGGATCCCAGGTCAGTGGGCAGAAGGGTAGGTAGGAAGCCTACAGTCCCCTCTCCCCGGATGTGCTGATGCCTCCCTGATGAATGAGTCACCAAAAGGGGCTACTCCCTGGCCAGTGCTGAGAGACTCCAAGCCTTGGAGGTCGGGGGGGGGGGGGGGGGGCAGGGAGGAGGGGGAGCCTTGAGTCTGAGATGACCAGAAGTTTGCCCCAAACTTGGGCAGCTGCCAGGCAGCCTCACCACTTGGGATGACCCAGTGTCTGGGCCACTCCCCTGCAAAAATAAGTCATCCTCTCTTGAGTTTCTTCTCACAGATCAAAGTTACAACTTAGATCTCCCTCCGCAACGCCTGGCGAGGGTTCACAACCATCTAACTTCTCACAAGTCTGGAGAGGGTGCCCCTTCGGGTCTCTGGGGATCTTCCTTTGCTTTCCCTTCTTCCAGGAAGATATGAAGGCACCTCCCAACCCTGAAGCTTGGGGATATCAGTGTGTAGTTCTGTACGGGCCTGAGCAGGGGCCTTACTGCAGCTCCTAGCCAGTGGCTGAAGAGAGTGGAGGAGGGATGGAGGGAAGGAGACGGGAATGGGTAGGGAATGGAGGGGTGGGTGAGATCGGAAAGCAGGGGTGGGAGGGAATGGGTGGGTGGAAGAGGGGCCAGAAAACCCCCCACCTGAGCACGAAAAACTTCCCTAGCTGCCCGAGCCTACAGGTGGAAAATGTCCCCGGGGTCTCGGCCTTCCCCCACCTCCTAAGCCCGGGAGAGGAATCAGATTCTAAGCTTCCCCAAGGGCTGGCTAACCGGCTCCCCCACCCAAAACGTAATGGCCCACGCAACACAATGGCCTGGCTCCAGCCCCCCGACTGACGTGGGGCTCCTATGGGCCCCAAGAACAGAGCACCTCCACCATCCCCCGCGCTGGTGTCCACCAGGCGGCGCTCTTCGAGGAGCAAAAAGGCTGCGGCTGGCTTAGTGGGTAAACCAGGCCCCCCCCCCCCCAGGGCAGCCGACCCCAGACCGCCCCTCGGGCCAGGCCGGTAAGCCGGCCGCGGGGACGTGCGCGCGCGTTGGACTCGTCCCCTCTTCCAACCCGCAAGGAAAGGCAGGCGGAGGGGACGTGCAGGGCCGGGACGCCGCAGCCGGACTCCCGGTGCAGTGCTCCCGGCAGGGTCCCCCGCCGCTCCTCCCGCCCGGAGGGCCGGGGACCGCGCGCCCCGGGCGGCTCACCTTCTCTCCGGTCAGCACGTGCAGCCCCTCGCGCACCTTGGCGAAGGAGCCCTCGCCCAGCTTCCTGCTGCCGATGAGGTAGTTGCCCACTCGCTTGTGGTGCTGGAAGTCGCGGAGCCGCTCGCGGGGCACGCCGCTCACCCAGGCCGGCAGGAAACTTCCCTCGCAGGCCGCCGCCGGCCTGGCCGCGTCCTCGGCGCCGCCGCCGCCCCCGGGCGCCACCGGCTCGCCCAGCAGCCCGTCCCCGGCCGCCGCCGGCATCGCGCTAGACCGCGGCCCGCCGGCTCCGCTCGGCTCCCGCGCTCGCAGCTCCTCTGCCGCCGCCTCCGGCTGTCCGGGCTCCTCCTGCCGCCGCCCTGGGCCCGGCCCCGCCCGGGCCGCGTCTCCCGCGCCCCGGGGCCGCCGCCGAGCGCCAAGCGCAGACAATAGCGGGCGACCGGGGACCGGGGACCCGCCCCCAAGAAGTTCTTCTTCAGAGGGTCGCCCGGGCCCCTGCCAGCACCCCGGGGACCCCGACCGGGTCCCGTCCGGCGGCTGATGACAGTCGCGCCCCGCTAGCGGGCGCGGGGAGCCGGGGGGGTTGGCGGGGGGGGAGGGGGGCGCGGTCGGGTGCCGGGTGCCGGGTCCCGGAGCCCCGGCGCGTCCGCAGCCGCCGCTCTGCCGCCGCCGGCTGGCCCGCACGGGCTCGGAGCCGGCTCGCTCGTCCTAGCTGCGCGCCGGGGGACGGCTCCCGCCCGAGAGCGGCGCGCGGCGGGCTGCAGGCGCCCTCTGGAAGGCAGCAGAAGAAAGCCCCATTCAGTTTGAATTCGCAGAAATTCAATCCGGTCGCGGGCGGCGGGAACAGATGCGAGCTCCACTCCGCAGTCTGTGCACTTTCAAATCCCTCGTAGCCCCTCCTTCGCCGCGCGCAACAGCCGAACTCGCCCCTCGCGGGAGAGGGGAGGGCCCGGGGAGGGGAGCGGCGGCGTGGGCGGCGGAGTCACCTGAGCGCCAGACAGGGGTACCCCGCGCGGCCTCGGAGACGCGCGCTCCCGGGCCGCCCCAGTCGGCCTGCCTCCCGCGGCGCCTCTCGCCCGGATTCCGGGCTCGGGCTTTCTGGACCTTTCGGCGCTGAAATGCACCCCCGGCCGCACCCACCCGGGGCAGGACGAAGGGAGGGCGGAGCGAGGGCTCTCGAACCCGGTGGATGGGGGTTTAGGCGGCGGGTGTCCAGTGCAGGGCCCGGCACACAGTAGGGCCCTGTGGAGCCTGGGTAGATGGGGAGACGCTGCGTGGAAGGAAGGACGGGGAGGTGGCGGGGCGTCTGTCCCGGCTTGCACGCAGTCCCGGTGGCGGTGCTGGAGGAGGAGCCCCGCAACAATAGTAGTGGCGGCAGCACCGTAGGAACCAGGGCGCCCGCCGCCTCCGCTCGGAGGTTCACACCTCCGCTTTCCATTGGAACGCGGCGCGCGAGGGCGGGAGGGGGTCGATCCGCGCTCCCTGCTCGTCGGGGCTTTTGTTCTGAGCGCGCCGTGACTGTGCTCATCCCGCAGAAACAAGCGCGGCTGCCCTCACGACTCTGCTCTTCCCCAGGATCCCCAACGTCTTGCCGAACCCAGAATGAGGAATCGCGGGAGGCAGAAGATTTTTGGGGGAGGGGGGTAGGTAAGGGGAAAGCATTTACAAAATACTACCTGTTGAGCAGCCAGATGAAAGGCGCCAGCGTTTAATGCGTACTTAACCCCTGGTATTACATCCGAGTCGAAGGAGGATTCGGTCCTAACCTACCTAGTTCCTTTCTTTATTGACTCCTCGGTGAACGAGTGTGGCACGATCCCCGGCAGTGCTCTGAGATGGGGGCGGGGGGGGGAAGCGGGGGGTACACAGCTGTCACTAATCCAGTTGGGGGGCTCTCCGACCCATCTGAAAAGCGACCCAGAGAAAAGTCTCTCTTAAATAGATCAAATGTTAAATATGCTATAGTCAACTACTCACAAGTTAGGAGTCACCAGCCTCGTTATGACTAAGCTTGTGTTTTCTGTCAGTCTTATTGTCCCTGTTTTCCAATATTACATGTGTGTGTGGTTTTTTTTTTTTTTAAGATTTATTTTGAGAGAGAGAGAGAGAGAGCACAGAGGGGAGGGGCAGAGGGAGAGAGAGACAGTCTTAAGCAGGCAGGCTCCTGGCTGAGGGGTGTGCTGACCAGGGGCTCGATCCCACAACCTGAGATCATACCTGAGCCCAAACTAAGAGTGGAACACTTTAAGCCACTGCGCCCCCCCCAAGGCGCCCCCCCAACATGACATGTTTTTCAAATATTTTTCTTACTGTGCTGAGGGGCTGTACCGACAGCCCACTCCCACAGTTTCTGCAAGGCCAGTCCAATCGCTTTAATGGGTCTGATTCAACAATCAGATCTGAGGACAGTAACACCGGGTAGAGGGAAGGCGGGAGCTGTATGACCAGGGCTGGTGTCTGCAAAGTAAAATGGTCAACAAATATCTGGTGAACGAGAAATATGGAACTCACTTTGGGGTCATAACCACACTGAATCTTCTTTCAGAAAATATTTTGGAGTTTCCCCAATGTTGTTTTAATAGAGTGTGATTTAAAAAACAATTTAGGACATTGGCTCTATATGAAAACTTGGAAGTTCCTTTTTTTAGGGTATAAGGCAAATTTCTGAGTCGGTTCATCAAAGTCTCTTTATGGCCTAAGGGGGGAAAAAAGTTAGCTTCAGGCACAAAAATGGTGGAAGATGTTTACAATAAAATAGAGATTTTTCTTTCCTTTTAATTATCCTCTCAGGGTAGAGGTCAGAAAAGGGGTGAAGAAGAGAGAAAATCCAAGCCCATTAAATCTTTTTCAAGCCTGATGCCTGGGTTTGATTCAAGTTCACTGTTAATTCCATCAGCTGGGATGGATGCCAAAGAGAAGTCCAAATCCTATGCTTGCCTGGGCTTAGGAACTGGTGTTTGAACTACACCAGTCCTGTTCTTTGAAATGGTCTTGTTTAAGAAGGAATAACCTCAGAAATTCCTTTATGTAAGACAAATTAGTACCCAAAAAAATCAATTGCCCTCATAAAATAGATAATGCAGAAAACATCTGGTTGAAAAGCAGTAGTCCAGCATTCAAGATTCGCTATGAATTGTCCTAAACTAGATTTCTCATCCTCCTGTGGGATCTCCTTGGGCACTACATTTCAGTTGTCTTCATCCAGGATCCGGCTTCCTCACCTCATCGCTCACCTCCACTCTCTCTTACTATGGATCATTCATTTCACATTCTCCTTGTGTCCTGCATTACTTACCATGAGGGTCTTTCTTCTGTTAGACTCACTGAAAACAGAAGCTGTGTCTTATTTTACATTTTATTTGCCCCAGGACACCTAATACAGTGCCCAAGACATGGTCGTCATCCAATAAATATTTGTTGATTAAATGAATGAAAGTAAGAGTTTGCTGATTCTCCAGTGAGTAGAGTTTCATGGCTCCTGACTGCAAGACTCCATCTGTCCTGGGGAAGAACATTTCTAATAAGCTTCCAAAAGCCTTTGCCGTTATATTGTTGGTTGCCTTTGGCGGGGGGGCGGGGGGGGTCAACAAATCGAACTTTCTGTGGTGCCCAAGATGAGCCCTTGTCTACCTTGGATGAGTTAACCCTTTAAAAAAACATGACCAACTATGGCGGGCTGGAAAGCCACAGAAAGCTTTGTCCGTTGACTTGTCCCAGCCACTTCCTTCCTTCCCATCTTCTTGTCCCATCTCCTCCCTCCAGATGGCTAGCAACTATCTCTGTGCTCCCACAGAACAGCCAGCTCGGGAGACCCAGCTGGAAGCAGTCAAAGACAATTAGAAGTAATCAGGCTGGCATGGGCAGGAAATGGAAGTTGGCTGGGGGGGGTGGGAGGCAGGAAGACGGTGGCAGGTGACTTGGGGAAGGGACAGAGAGCAAAGCGAAGGCAGCAGGCATGAATACACGCTGCCAGGAAGACGTTTTGTGAACTCTGCTCTCATTAATTCTCCCCAGACAAAGCTTCCAATACACACTCGAGGCAGGACTTGGACCCATGTCCCCAGAGTTCACGTCCGCCACTCTTCTCTCACGACACCCCCTGTTGAATGGCACAGTGCAAGGCTGAGGAAGGAAGGATTCCCCCGAAGGAAAGGCGTGTGTGGAAGCAGCCTGGTGTGGTGCTGGTGAGCAGGCTGCCGGCAACACCCGGCAATGAAAATGAATCGTGACTCACCACCTCTCTGTGCCTCGGTTTCCTTCATCTGTGAACATTAAGGAAGCACGAAGATTAAATGAGATGATGCACACAAGGCATTCAGCCTGGTGCCTGGCATTTATCAGCAGAGTGTGACCTTTATCAATACTTCTTTCTATACCCTCATCACAACACTGAGAGAAGTCATTCGAGAATGCCCCAGAACTCCCCCAACCCAGTTGTCCCTGTTGCTGAGGAACTCAAAGCATTTTCTCCAGGTTGGATTTCTTCCCTGAATCCAGAGTTGTGTAGCTTCCACACCCAAGCCAAAACCATCTCTTAAAAATGGGAATCAGCTCACATCCCTTCCCCACTGCAAACCCTTTAATGGGCCACCACCACGAAAAGATACCCCAAGTGACTCATCCTGGTGGTGCCTCCCTCTTCAGCACCTGGCCTCCTGAGACCAGCTGTACCTCTCTCTTGCTCTTCCTTCAAGCCACCGAGCTCTTTTCCACGTCAGAGCCTTTGCCCTTGCTGCTCCCTGCACCAGCAACACATTGCTTCTACAACTTGCAATGGTCTGTCCCTCACTTCATTCAAGGCTCTGCTGTCTCATCAGAGAGCCATCCTCCAACCGCCCCCCACCCTGCTCAGTATTTCCTCATGCCATTCATCAGCAGCTGACAGAAGAGCGCACATTAGCTTATGTGTTTACTGTCTCTCAGTCCCTCTAGAATTTCAGATCCATGAAGCAAGGACTTTTCTGTCTCCCAACCCCCATGCACGCCTGCTCAGCAACACCTGTGGAACCTCCTGTAACTCTTGATTTGCCTGCAGGAAAGGAGAGAGCCCTGGACTTTGGTTGGCATGGCACCTGGAGGGTGGTGGGGCATGCGTGGTAGCACCAAGCCCACCCCAGCAGCACTGTGCTGATGTTCTGGACCAGAAAAGTCTATTGTTTGAGCAAAATGCTGATGGCTGCCCCTACAAGAGCCAGGCTGTGACCACGATTGATTTCCATCAGTTCTCACGAGCCAAATGTCCCGGCTATTTCAGTAAGAAAACA